TACTTACTCCTGCGGTAGCAATGCGTAGAGTTGCAATTTGACCAACAAATGATTTACCATTCCTGAATCCTGCTTTCTTTGTGCTGGCAGCATTTGGCACCCAGCTCGTCGTTTATTTTTTCTAAAGGATGATGTGAAATAGTATTTTTCTTGGCATGGACAAGACCATGATTCCACGCCAGTTCTTGCACAGGCCTAAGTCTCGCTTCTTTTGCTGCTTGACGAGGTAACCATTCTACCAATGAGTAGGTACCTACCCTTCCTTCCAAATCTTTTGCAGCAACGGCATGAGCATATCTGTGGCAGTTTCTGTGCCCGTTTTCAGGAATTCCGTCTGGATCTGCTGCCTTTCCGTCTGGTGCTCAGTAACTTGATTACATTCAGAATTTCTGCCTACGTTGGAGGATTGGTGACTAATGACAGCTTCGTGCGTGCTGTACGCGTATTTCTTGGTGGGTTGCAGGTGAAGTTGGTCGATTCAAGAGTCCTTCAAAGTGATCAGCTCATTGTTTTTTGTTTCCCGTAATCCTCCTTCGTATTCTGGTTACTTTGAACACCTTTTATTGGTCTCATCTTCTGAGTTGATCTCTTCCCGAATAGCGACCAGACTGGTTATCCGATATAATGTTTTTACGTTTCCTTTACCTGCAACCTTCCTGCTCTGCTTCAGTTCCCTGTGTCGTAGAATTGTCTTTTGTTTTTCCTATCACTCTTCTTCACCTGTCTCTGTTCAGTGCAGTGTACATTGAAATCAGCTTCTCCGTCCTTTACCTAACTTTGCATTGAGTTCTCTTTTCTTTCATCCTCCTCCCTTCTATTAGCTTCCACGTAGGTGTCTGTTGAGGGCCCTTCCTTGTCTTGCCTCTTCTTCCTTCCGAGAACAGTTGTACACGTTTCGTTGAATAGTGCCCTGAGAGAGTTAGTTCCAACGTTGTTCCACTCAGGTTTCCTCAATGGTAGCACGCAGTGTCTCTGACTCTGCCCTGTAATGAAGGCATCCATTGTAGTTTCGTCCTTCCCTTTCTGAGTGTTCAACTGGAATTACAGTGGTCAACAGTGGATTCACCACGAAGGCAGTTTCCTTGAACTAAATGATGGTTTGAGCCAACATCTGCTCCACTTCTCGACTTTGTGTCCAGCAGACTGACTGTGTCTCCATATTGAAGTCTGTCCGGTTTTTGGTGTGTCGGTCAGACGAAACCCATGTTGATTTGTGTATATACTCGTGCTTGTACACGCTGCCTCCGATTACCAGATCATTGAAAGAGCGGAAGTTTGCAAAGAGTTCTCCGTCATCATTCATTTCGCCTAGTGAGAGCTTCTCGACCCATGATGAGTTCTCTTCCTGCACCGCCTGCTCCTAGTTTGGCTTTCATAACGCCCATCAGGATTTTAATGTCACCATTAGGTGTATTGTCTATTACTGTTTGTGGTTGTCTGTAGAAACGTTCCTTCTTCTCATGTTCTGCATTGTTTGTAGTCCTGTGCTTAGCATTTTATAGTTGTGACCACGCATCCTCTTGAGCTAAATTTTGCTGTCATGGATGAGATTGATTCCTGCTGCATTGGTGCTCTGGCCGCCACTGCTGACGTCAGGATAGCCACTCACCGCCTCAATATGCTTGTGGTTTTCCTCTGAGTGCCCAGGCTAGGGTAGCTTACTGACTCTACAGTTGACGGTATTGACAGTCCATATCCATTCCATTCGATTTCTCAGATAACCAGCACTTTTATTCCATATCTTCACATTCTTTAAGCTACCAGGGCAACCTTCCAAGCCAGCATCGTACATTATAAGGAGACTCCTCGTCCCAATTATTATTCTCGCTTTCTTTAATCGACAAAATACACATTGGCTAGCTGACTGGCTTCCCGAAGGCTCTCACCAACCCGCTATGACATTTCGATTCTCCAGTTCCAGCGAACAAGATTGTTGTCATTTAAATTTTTTCGCAGTTTTAATACGTTTTTTGTGAGTAGAAGTTTCTCTGGCGGTTTGATGGGTTAAGTCGTGTGAGGTTGCTAACTCCACATCCAACCCTTTCTCTTTACCAGGGCTTGGGACCGACTAGAAAACTAGCAAGCTAGGTAACTAGGCCAGAGTAGGCAGAGTAACCATAACTATTTGAAGATCTACGTATGAATGTAGACACATAGATGCAGACAGTTTTCCCCTCATTTCCTCCACTGAGTAAAAAGTGTCACCACGTTTCTTAGTTGTATGACGACTAGTGATTGGGCAACAAGTGAGCAATAAAATCGCTGATACCAGTCTAACTGGTCCGGTTTTTCTACTGTAATGAGGCATTTGGACTATTACGGCTGTAAGCTTCTTTCAAGAAAACTTATTAGAGTGTGGTCATAGTATAGGAACACCCAGTGACTTCAGTTTTTCACCCAATTTCTATTCAACATGGGCTTATGCAGCGTGTGTCTTATGTTCCCTATGACACTGTATTCCATATCGTGCATCTTAGGAACACTTTCACTAGTTGCACACAGGGGTTGAATTTTACTTCAGGAGACCTCATCTGACTCGTAATTTTGTGGCGAATATAGCCTACAAATCTCTGAAATCTTATATCCAATATGCCACATCCGTTACTATAATGATGAAAGTCAACTTTTCTCCCTTTGGTTTTTTTAGACAAATTATGTGAATTTTGGTAACAAAAATTATTTAAATTCGGTTTTCGGTGTAAAATACTCTTAAAAATATTTATAAAAGAAGAAGGTTTGTGGTGTTGTTTTAATGGACGTTTGAATCAATAGTTGGTTGCGTTCAATATTTTCTGTGAGTTACTCAGTTCAACCATATTAAAGTTTCTTATTTTGTTATTTTTGATTCATGTTAATATAGTATCCGGTTTTCACTTTGGTAATATATTACACCAGGGTATTGTTTCGTAATAATTTAAGTCTCGCTGGCGGTGTGTTGTGTCGCAGTTTGTCCAATAACCTTGTCCACTGAGCATTGATGTAGCAGGTAGGAATTTAATCATACTGCGTTATTTTTATTACGACTTGAAATAGGAGTCATTACAACGTTTGCAAATGTTAGCTGTAACACCAGTGGAAAGTAATAAACAAAAATATGACTGTCACTTCCGGATATCAGCTGAACTGACAACTCCTTAGGATTTGTAGTATATGCACTACCTAAATTCATGAACATCTTTCATGTAGAAGCTATTATTCCTTAATTAAAATAAAAGAAGCTTACAGTGTTTGGTTTTTATATCGTGTTGTTAGCAGCGTGACATTAGCAGTTTTATAGTTATCATGAATGTTATTTTAAGAATTCCTTGATGGTCTGCTGTGTAATATATAGTTAGGGAGTAAAAAGTGTGTTACTTTGACCCATGCTTTTGAGTTACAAACTGCGGATCAAGTTTGAAGTCTTATTCTTGAGGTGAATGTGACCTGGTTATAGTTATTAATCTCATGAAAGATATCGATCTGAGAAAACTTGTACTCCAGTTGACAATATAAACCCAATTTTATTTTATTACTGGAGATCATAACATTATTAGTTGACTCTTGCATTCCCGCCAGACAATTTTTGCGTGTCAGCTTCTGTTGGAAGTTATTGGTTTGTGGACTGAATGTTAAAACACCATAACATTGATTATACAGTCACGAATTCTTTCCTTCAGTTCCCTCTAAAATGATCCCACCAAGTTAATTAGGCATTTCGGCAACAAATTTCGGTCTTTATGTAGTTATAAAATTGGAAGGTACCTGTGCATAACTGCCCATGTCCAAGTTAATAAAAAATAAGGAAAGGTCAACGAGGGTGGCTCTATGATAGACAGAGTTATGTGAAAAAGGGCAGCTTTATGTAGATAACTACGAGACGTACACCACTGGAGATAGTGTAACGCCCGTTTCTCCACATCTGGCGGGACAGCTAGGTGATGTATGCTCCACTGCCAACTTCAGGGCAATTCAGGAATCTCATAAATTCCAGTATAATTTTATTGATCACATCGTTCACTCATTGCATCCTAGCCCCAAACTCCTCTTCAAAACTAATCATTTATCTTGTAGTAAGGGTAGCATATATTTAGTCTACCCAGTAATCAAGTTACATCATTAATTTTGTAGTTGGCAGTAGGGATGGCAAAGGTCCATCATACTCAGCGCATGTTGGAATCTCAACAATTGAAAAGTACACCTATCTAGTTCTTCAACAGCTATTTAACACAACAGTCGAATAGGGTATTGCGGAATCATGTTCACTACGCTCATCACTCAAGTAGCAGTCGTATGTGTACATGTAATATCGTAGTTAGGAAACCAAACAGAACTCTGCGTTCGTAGCGATATGACAACAAACTTCTGACCAATAAATTACTTTTCGCTCCTTGCAATCTTTTCAGTTGTGAAAGACTACCAGTGAAGTCTCGAATGTCCTAAAAGTGAGTTCAGCAACTAACCTCCTTTAGTATCTCTTGATTACCAAACATTTTTTGTGCATGTCACAAGGAATATTCTCCTCTTAGGGAGCCTCCTTCATCTTAACCAACTCCTTTCATTAAAATAACTTGAAATAAGTTATCTAGGACTTATTCCGTTCTGGGAAACACCAGCGGAAAGTCGAGTGCTTAAGCTGATGGGCTATACTTCGCTATGGTTGATATAAAATAAGTGAGGCACTGAAAGACTACATGTGACCGAGATTCGGACACTTTCTGCTTTATAAGTAAATATCTCATAATATCCAAGGGAAGACTAACTGCTTGTCTATCTTGTTCATCAATTTACGAAGGTTTCTATTCGTTCTCATGCATACTATATACATGGACCGTTGTTCACCATACATTGTGTACTATTAGGTTGACTAAAGTTAAAGTAGTCACCAGTTTTGTTTTTGGTCTTATAAACGAACAATATTGTTTTCAATTAGATCTCCATCAGGCTTTACTCTAATTTACATAGACATATATAAAAATTTTAACCAATGACGATGATTTTGTGGATCAAATAATAATAATGTGGTAAATGTTTTGAAAGAAGTTAATAACGATAATATGTCTTGTTCTAATATTATAAATGGGAATATTTAAAGATTTGGTCTTATAGACTATTCCTTCTGATGTTTCAATTGCTCGCTGTAGTCTAATTATAATTTAAGAGATAAAGACTCAAAACCATAGATGTTATGTGTCTGCATATTTCTCTACGTTGTTTTATCCACACGAAACGTGACTTGTACTCAGCAGTTTCATAGATGTAAAGTAGACCTTAAACCACTGACACCAGTTCAGAATCAATACATTTGCTCATCCTTGCTAATCTAGTAATACGAAAATCGAAGGTTCAAATGGGTTGTCAACGTATTAGCACCCCGTTTTGAAATTGCCACAGAGTTCGCTGTCTCATTCTTAATGTGAATGTTAAGGTCTTGGTGTAAATGGTGGAACTACAGTGAGTTGCCGTCTGTGAATATGAGGGACTCGAAAATTCACTGGCCTCCCAGTTGAGATTCAGAAAACAATAGGATCTGATGGATATAGACCAGGTGACATGGCTCATAATTGAACGCACACATCACAGATTCATTTGGATTGTAACATCTCACTTTTTTGCTTTTTTTGCATTACAACATTTCACAATATTGTGGTTTTGTTTACACGTCATTTTATGACAACTGTTGTGTGGAGTAGAATGTCCTGACCGATGTCAATAGGTGGATAACAAAATTATTCGCTCGTATGGTCTCGTAGACCTCTGTCTTCGTTCTCATGGTCACCATGTCCTTGACATTGGCTTCAAAATGTATTTAGTGGTGTCGAATATTTGGATCGTTAGCCGCTGTTTCACTTTACAGTCCTTATCAATAGTGTGTAGTTAGACTTTTGAATGTTATATAAAAATCTACAATCACACTAGTGTGGATCGTTGACCCTCCGAGTTTAAAAAGATAGTCTCCTTTTGACTTGTGGAGACCAGCTGGAAAATTTTTGAATCTAAGAATGTATATGTAGTCATACGGGGTGTTTGGGAGAACCTGAACTGAAGAAATCGGGAAAGTTTTTGGCTTTGGTGTGGTTGTAGTGATCGAGTGTTCACGCTTCGACAGTTTTTGAACGACGGTATATCTACTGGCTCTCAACACTTATCTTTCTTACTAACTTGAAGTCGGCATTGTATTGTCTCTCGAAGGGTCTGGTTGCAATGTTTGTTTATAAAAAGAGTGCCAATGAAGTAATTTGTGTAAGTTGAGGCACTTTACACGAACTTATTCAATCATGTTAAAGTTTATGGAGAGATGGTGTGTGATATGGAGACATACAATGATCTCTACTGTCATTCCGTTCCTTGTGTGAAGCAGCATGGTAATAATGGGATTAAGCGTACACCTAAGAAAAGTTGTGAAGCCCGATCGGTTTAGATGACTCGTACACTTGTTACTCATTGCTGTTTTTGTTGAGCAATGTTAGATGAAGTTAGAAAAGCGTTTAGCTGTATTCCTACAAAAACACCAGTCCATGAATTGATTCACCAATGATCTAAATCATATTGGTGGGGCCCCTTAGAACGCTAAATATTTATGATTTGAAACTCTTTAACATGGCTTAGAATCATTTGATAAAGTACAGTTGCATTCACTCTTTACCAGGTCTTGAAAATTGTCTCTGGTTTTTATTTAATCTCTTTATTAGTGCCTACGTCCACTGAAGTATCGATACATTTCTGTTCTCATTTTTGTGCCGTTTTCACCCTTTTATACGAAGTTTGGCGTTGGCTTATTTTGATGTATTGTGTAGAAGTTTAAAGTAAGGCTTAATTTTTCTGTCATATTAAGTATACTGGGGTTGAATTGCTCAACTCCCATATTAGCTATGCCATAGGCAGTACACCATAGCCAAATGATTTTTCCGCACTTACAATGTGTATCTCTATCTTTAAAGCCTGTCATCTATTATTAGATTTTTCAAAGATAAACTGCTCAGTTCAGTTGTTTTAAGCTACACGGAGAACATTAAATTTTTTAGTGGTTGGGTGTGCTACTTTTAATAACGTAGCATTCTTATCAAAAGCGTATTATTTTTGCGACTCTTGACAAAGATGACTTCATAGTGTCAACTAGGTAGTTGTTTTTTGCACGATAGTTTCGTTTTTTAATTGTCTTGTTCACCGAAATGCCTTATTTTTACGTATATTTATTAGGATCCATGATTGCAAATCAACACACTAATGCAGCTATTGCGTATAATTTCAACGCTGCCAATCGACAGCAAATACAAATTGTAGATGCAAGCACTCTTCAGCCTTTAACAGAAGCAATGGTAACTGGAGAATACAAACGTGATGAGGCTGTCGCTGACAATACTCAAATTATTTATGGCACTGCTACTACGGCTGCTGCAAATTTCGCACCTGTAATGGGTCAAAATATTCAGCTTGTTTCCGCAGTACCAAATGCAGTCGAACTAGCGAATAGTACATTCGACTCTTCAATGATCGTTCCCCAGGAGGCTTCACAAGCAGGTATGGATATGGAGCCCATCGACTTGGAAGAGGTTCAGAAAATTCAAGCTCGTATGCCTGCTGCTGATCCTAATGCTCCTGTTGGTTCAAACAAGAATCCCATTAGGATTATACAGCAAGGAAACCAATACATAACCACCCAGGATGTTTCCGACGAGCATTTACAACAAATAATCCAAGTTTTAACGAACCAAGCATTACTGTCAAGTAGTAGCTCTCGACCGAGTGCTATTTTTAATCATCTTACAAATCGCCGCATTATATTTCGCGTAACACGTGCCAAACGTCGTCGTGGCAGTAGTAACGCTGATTCTACAACTCATAGTGGTGATCGAAGTAGGTCAAGCCTTACTGTGAAAAGTGAAAAGAAGAACAGAATAGGTCGGCCAATCGGACGAAAGCGTAGAAAGCGTGATTCCGATGAAGATCCTGACTTTGAACCTGAGGTTCCAGAAGAAGAAGTGTTACCATTTCCACTGATGAGGCGAACATCTGCTTCTGGTCGAGTTTCTAAGCCACCGAAACACTTGGTAAGGAAAAAGGATTTGTTTACTTTTTGCTTGTTAACATAAAACTAAACGTTTATATCGCTGTTTAAAACTTAAGTGGAGTAAATTATGTGGCATAATAAATTTATGATAGTTTGCTAATTGGCTTGAGCGCCTGAATTTCAACTAGTTGGTCATGAACTGAAAACTTATCTTCGCCTACTTGGTGGTCTAGCCTGGTCAATATAATGTAGCCTGTAGCATAAGACACAAGAAATGTGTACCGATGTGTAACTGATTTAAATGGTTATCCTAGAAAGATGTAATGCAGAAAATTTATTATTCGCTAACTGAAGTAGTTGGAAGCACTTTCACTGACTGATCCTTGGGTCGTATTAAATTGGACTCCTCGCAAACATCGTGAAGACGTATGTCTGAATGTCTGTCTGTCTGGATTCAACATAGAACTTGGCACCGAAGTGCAGCAGTTCGAGTTGCCACGTTCCAAATAGCACACAGAGGTAGACAAGAAGATGAGTGAAGAGAATTAATAGAGTTTGACAAATATAAGAGTGAAACAGAATGGGTAATGGTAGAAAGGAATATGAAAGATTACAGAGATTGAATACATCTGCGCCATTGACAACGATTTTGAGCCATGTCACCTATTGTCTCCAGCCATTGATTCCTAGAGTCCCGAGGGCCCCAACCCGGGAGTCTGCATCTCCCTACCTGACTCAGTTTAACTGTCAAGGATTTCATGGATTGATGCCATGTTTTTGTTTGGCCACCACTGGCTCTTTTCCAACCTGAACCTATATCAGCTAACAATGCCCGTCGGGGGAGGCGGTGGTTAGGCATGCGCACCACGTGACCTAGCCATCTTAGTCTATGTAACTTTATAACCTCGTCGATTGATTTTCCCTCTTTGCCCAACACTCTACGCCTAACGTCAACATTACTTATCTTGTGAAACCACCTAACGTGAGACAGAGATCGCAGACATCTATGATCGAAAGCAGTCAACCTTTTCATGTCTTCAACGCGTATTGGCCATGTTTCAGAGCCATAGAGAAGGACGGAGCGAACTGATGAGCAGTACACACGTCCCTTGGTTGATAACCGGATGTCACGCCTACGCCAGAGATGGTGTAAGTCAGCGAAAGCAGCTCGAGCTTTTCGGATCCGTGCTGAGATTTCATCGCCAATCAGTCCGTTGGTGCTGATACAACTTCCCAAGTAGGTGAAGTGGTCAACATGTTCTATCACTTCACTCCCTATCACTAAGTTAGGGGTTGACGTCGTCCAGTCCTGTAGCAGCATCTTACATTTTGCAGGGGCGAATCGCATGCCAAACATACGAAGATTGCTGCTCAAGGTGTTCAGAAGACTCTGCATTTTGTCAGCATCCTCCCCTAACAGGACTATGTCATCTGCATATTCTAAGTCCATTAGATTATTCCCTGGTAACAAGTCGATTCCTAAGTCACTACGTTCAGTTAAGGATACTTCCATTAGCATATCTATGATGAAGTTAAACAGAAATGGGGAAAGTGGACATCCCTGTCGGACACCACTGGTTGTTACTAATTCAGATGACAATTCCCCATAAGCCCTTACACGACTACGTGAGTTTGAATAGAGTCTGAATGTACTTAATACCTAGGTGCTAGATGTGATATGGAATGGCAGTCACCTCTCTATCTCAACTTCATCGACTTTGAAAAGGCCTTCGACAGCGTCGATCGAGAGGTCATTTGGAAACTACTTCGCTATTACGGGGTCCCATCGACAATTATACATCTCATCCAACAGTTATACGACAATGCTGCATGCCAAGTAATCCACAACGGGAAACTTACGGAAGCCTTCGAAGTGAGGACGGGAGTGAGGCAAGGCTGTCTACTATCACCAATGATCTTCCTGATTGCAATTGATTGGATAATGCGACAGACAACGGCAACCAACGAGGGAACAGGCATAAAATGGACTGACACGAAAGACTTGGAGGATCTGGATTTCGCCGATGATATATGTCTGATTTCCCATAAACTGGAAGATATGCAAGTGAAAAGTAACAAGTTGGCAGAAGAAGCATCAAAGATAGGACTTCACGTGAACATAGATAAAACAGAGATGATGAAGATTCCTAGCCAACATCAACAGCAACAACAACAACAGACAACAATCAGCCAGCGTAAATGGGAGAAACCTGAAAGAAACAGCCTCCTTCACCTACCTGGGAAGCATCGTTTCAACTACAGGCGGCTGAACTGACGAGGATATCAAAGCCATAATCGGAAAAGCAAGACAAGCTTTCATTACTCTCAAATCTGTGTGGAGGTCAACAGCACTCAGCATCAAAAATAACATCCGGATTTTCAACTCCAATATAAAGTCAGTGCTACTATACGGATCAGAGACTTGGCGAGTCATAAAGAGCACCTCAAACAAACTCCAAACCTTCATTAACAGCTGTCTTCGCTCAATACTCAAGATCAGATGGCCAGAAAAGATCAGCAACAGGGATCTCTGGGAGCGAACCAATCAGGAACCGATTGTGAAACAAATAGGCAGAAAGAAATGGAGATGGATTGGCCATACGCTGAGGAAACCATCAAGTGACATCACTAGACAAGCCCTCGAATGGAACCCGAAGGGGAGGCGGCGAGTTGGTCGTCCAAGGGTGACTTGGAGGAGATCATGCGAGGAGGAGATGAAAGCATGTGGACAGACCTGGAGCAGGGTGAAAAAATTGTCAGAAAACCGAAGGCAATGGAGGTGCGCAGCTGAAGCCCTATGTTCCTCTAGGAACTAAAGGATACAATAATAATAATAATAGATGTGATATGTTGACTATCTGTATGTTCATACTTCGCAAATTTTTGGTACTTTTATGAGAAGTAGATTTGGTATACAGCTTCATACCATTGCTTTATATCATTCACATTATTTCATTTTCTTTATTCCTTTACGTTCCGACTGAAACATAAAGCTTCAAACTAGAACTTTGAAGTTACGGTAACAGAAGTTTTATATTTATATGGGGTGGGGTTGCTATCCTCACGCTTAACCTTCCTTTACTACCGGCTAAGTGAGGTTTAGGAGTGCGCCAGCCGGGAGATCGAATTCCGGACCACGTGCATGGTTGGCGAGCATCCTACCGCTGAACCACCATATTTCACATCATTTACATGCTACTTGAAAATTGGCGTTGTTCACACACACACACACTCTCTCTGATTCTTCCGTAGATTAGTGTGATACTTTGAGTGTGTGTTTTTGATTTTCCATTTTCATGGTTGAAACAAGTGTGTATATGAGGCCAAAAATTATTTTTGGAATGTGAGTCTAAAGTGTGTGTATGTGTGAAGTTTCTCTTTTCTCAAAAACTTAATTTTCCCTCTGAAATTTCAGGTTAAAGATTACAAGCATTTAAGGCTAGAAGATTTAACATCTAAACCAGAGTCAAGTGACGATGATGATCATTCTGATGGAGGTTATTCGGATTATATTAACGATGGACTATCTGATGAAGGCTGGTCCGAGGATGGCGCTAATAAAAGTAAGTTTATATATACCTATACATATATACATGTAGTGCGTCGGTGGTGAAAAGGTAAAATGTTCACCAGCCACTCACGTGGTTCGGGGTTCAGTCCCTGACTGACTCACTCCCAAACCTCGCTAAAATGGTAGTAAGACATGTAAAGAAGGGAGGTTGGGCATGAGGCTAGCAACCCCACCCAGTAAAAAGAAACACTACTGCTACAGAAACTTCAAAGCTCTAGCTTGAAGGCGCCTTGTGTTCCCCTAGCAGCGCGATGGAACTGAGAAAAATTCCGTGCTTTCATTCCCTTTTATGGATTCAGTCATATTTTTGTGAATGTACTATAACAATGCATATGTTGTGAGCTAGATCAATAAGGCTTTTAGGGCTTACCTGTGATTGAAACCCTGACACCATACTTGTATGCTATTCTGTGATCTAGCTAGAGTATCGTTATGTATGAGCTGACAATAAAGTAGCGATTTTTATTTAGTTTGCATTTCATGTAAAATGGTTGACGAGTCTCATTATGTGAATGACGCCTAATATATCCGAAATTAAATACCTTTGCTATGGTACTGTAAATATTTTCATAACTCTAAAGTAGATTCACGTGTATGTCCAAACCAAGTTCACTTTTAACGGTTTGAAAAAATTTGGGCATTGGGTATATGGTATTCATAATAATAAAGTTTTTTGTATTTCCCAATGAATGAAAAACAAAACGATGTTGTTTTTACTGACGTTTCGCTATTTAATGCTAGTAGCTTTCTCAAAGTATTATTAAACCGGAATTTACAAAATCTCAGCATATATACATATATATATTCCGGTTTAATAATACTTTGAGAAAGCTATTAGAATTAAATAGCGAAACGTCAGTAAAAACAACATCGTTTTGTTTTTCATTCATTGGGAAATACAAAAAACTTTATTATTATGGATTCATGTGTGTTTGTGCTTCTGGGCAAGAGTAAAGAATAGTTACCACCGCCGTATGACTTTGAGCTAACCCACCAAATCTCCGGACACTCACGACACAAGGATGCTTCTCATAGTCTTCATTGCAAGTTCCGCCCTGTTTTAAAGTTTGGGCTAGGGGGTTACGCTTTAGGTTAGGGTTAGAGAGTAAGATTACTGCTGAGGTTAGACTGAAACTTGCAGCGAGGATTACGAACAACTACCATTTGAAATGCTGAGCAATATTGACTACCATCACTAGGTTGATATTCATTATAAAGTCAATCATTTATCATGACTAGTAAATCCTGTGGCTGGTACTCATACAAATTCTATCGAAGGATGTTGGGCATATTAAAGACACAGATTAATCTAATTAGGATGGTATATGTCTATAACCATTCCTATTCAAAACTGGGACTCCTTTCTGTAGCATATTAGAGGCATATACCCTGTATAATTCATATATATATATATATATATATATATATATATATATATAGCCACTTTTGACGCAGAAGCACATGGTTAGTTGGTTGAAGGCCCCATAAAACCACCTAGTTACTGCCTCGACGATAGGTGAACTTCAACTTCCTCGAAATACTCTCAAGTGGTCACGCGTTCAAAGCCTCTGACAGGTAAGCACTATTCACTGCCTTCACGCAGTCGAGGTAGAGAGTTCTTCATAGAAGTGGAAGGGTGGGTGAGAACGCTTAGGACTTAAAATCGAACTGGTTGACATGCTGGTCTACCAAGGGAAGCTAGGAAACCCTATGGCCCAAATGGTGTCTATTCTTTACTGCTGCTGTAGTTTGATTTCCTTTAGTTACTGTCATAGAAAGACAATATGTATAGGACATCAAGAGAGAAGGGTAAAGAGAAAGAGTAAAATTTTAACTGTTTTACTTGATATTTGTAGGCGGAGAAGAAACTATTTCCTTTTGACAGTTGGCTTTCCCCTTAATCATTATTTTGAACTCATTAAGATGTCTTATCTTCAATGAAATTTCATGTCGGAAATCTGGAGGTTTGTCGAGAGACTTTAATCTGCAGCATATCTTTTCTGCTGGCTAAAACAAACTAAGTTCCTGAGGTTGTATTCAACGTCTACAACGATGTTGCGACAGTGACTACACTTTGACTACTCATCATTACTGTAATTTAACAGTAGACATTGTTTCTAACAAAAAAATAAAACAGATTTTGCATACATAGCGCGGTGTCTACAGTGTCTGTAAATGCATTACTGAATTTCTCCTTGTTTTATTTTGATATGTTATGGCCTAAATGTCTAACACTTTCACAAATCTTTTTATCATCTTCTGAATTTTAGGTCTACGTTGGCCTTGTCCTCTGTGCACCAAAGTGTTTACTTCTCGCGCTGGAGTCGCTCGACATCGAAGTATTGCCCACGGTCCTAATCGTGGTCGACCCAGAGGTCGTTGGGCTAATCCGTACATGGCGAGTGTTCGGCGTAGAGCTAAACTGAAAGAAGTAAGTGTGCATCATGTGATGATACAAATGTGACTGATTTGTAGCTCATAGTATAAGTTAAGCAAAGTGCATATTTTTTCGTGATGATTCGTGGCTCTGACGTAGTGTCTTTCGAGAGGTGATTTGGAAACTACTTCGGTACTACGGGGTGCCACAGACAATTATACATCTCATCCAACAGCTGTACGACAATGCTGCATGTCAAGTAATCCACAACAGGAAACTTACGGAATTCTTCGAAGTGAAGTTGGGAGTAAGACAAGATGGTTGCCTACTGTCGCCAATGATTTTACTGATTGCGGTAGATTGGATAATGCAACAGACAGCAGGCAATGAAGAGACAGGTATAAAATTGACCATAACGAAAAACTTGAAGGACCAGGACTTCACCGATGATATATGTCTGACTTCTCACAAACCGGAAGATATGCAAGTGAAAAGCAACAAGTTGGCAGAGGAAGCGTCAAAGATAGGACTACAGGTGGACATAGAGAAAACAGAGGTGATGAAGATTCCTAGCCAACAGCAACAACAACATCAACAGATAACAATCAGCATAAATGGGAGGAACCTAAAAGAAACAACCTCCTTTACCTACGCACCTGGGAAGTATCGCCAATTCAACTACAGGCGGAACTGAGGAGGATATCAAAGCAAGACAAGCTTTCATTACTCTCAAGTCTGTGTGGAGGTCAACAGCACTCAGCATGAAAATGATAATACGATCCGGATTTTCAACTCCAATGTGAATTCAGTGCTACTTTATTTATCAGAGACTTGGCGCATCATAAAGAGCACCTGAAACAAACTACAGACATTCATTAACAGTTGTCTTCGCTCAGTACTCAAGATCAGATGGCCGGCTAGGAAAGATCAGCAACAAGATCTCTGGCAATGAGCAGGAACCGATTGTGCAACAAATAGACAGGAAGAAATGGAGATGGATCGGCCATACTCTGAGGAAACCATCAAGTGACATCACCAGACAAGCCATTGCTCGAGTGGAACCCGAAAGGGAAGCGGCGAGTTGGTCGTTAGCGCTAGGGTGACTTGGAAGAAGTGATGTTAAGAGGAGATGAAAGCATATGGGCAGACTTGGAGCCAGGTGAAAACTCTAGCAGAGAACCGAACGCAGTGGAGATGCGCGGCCCTATGTTCCTCTAGGAATTAAAGGAAATAACAATAATAATAACAAACTCAGGCAATTCATTTCAATGATTAATATTTTCTCTTTTATCCTTATCATAAATGTGCTGAATACCTGTAATCAGGTGAAAATTGAGAACTAATTTAGGTTAATTTGTTTATATATATATGGTAGTATCATGTAAAGATATCATTTACGTAATTTATGTAACCAGAGAGTGTAACTAGCCCCCCACCCCTCGGCGTCCTGGTTTTTCTTTTTTAAAAGAAGCACAAGCACTTCATTATTGAGAGCTTCCCACTGGAGATCATTCTAGGGGATTAAAGCTAATGGAAATATTTGGATTTCAGTTGTGGACTTAAAAATGGTTGTTGACTTTTAATCTATTTCTTTCAACACCAATCAAGACACTAACGTAACTACTATTCGTAGTCACCCCCCCCCTACTTTGGTCAAATTGATCGTATTAGGTGGGATGTTACAGTAAATACTAACGAGTGTACAAGTTAATCTGCATGGTCAAAGTCACAGATTTCACGATTACAAGAAAAGATTTTTTATCATGTATCAACAGGGAGCACTGGACAGCTGTTTCATCTTCGTTTGGAATTCTCCATCATTTAGAATCCGCGACCCCGTCACCCAGTTAGCGTTCGAGCTGATTCTTGTGGCTTATTATTAAATGTAGCTTGAAATAACTTCGAATTCCCTCAAACTCAACACGTTCAAAGCTTATGATCAATATTTTCAAACCTGAAAACTTTAACTGTTCTTATACCAAGAGTGTCGACTGAGACCCAGGTGCCCTTGTGTATTACTGCTGTTCCTCTTCCTTTTTCAGGAGTTAGTTAGTTTTTGCGGATATATTTTGTTTCAGGCTTGACCACGAATTAATATCAGTTAAAGAGAACCCCTAAAAGCCAGGGAGCACGAGATAGCTGTTTCGTCCTAGTTCGGGACTCATCATCCTCAGGTTTCGAACCCACAACATTCCGTTTACAAGACAAGCTTGTAAATTATTCAGCCACTGTAAGCCAACTCAATGGCACACGAATGAATTCTAACTTCTATCAATTTGTGATCTTAGCGCAACCACTAACCAACCAAAATCATCGGTGGCGAGTATTTATCCCACCAGAACTCCAGATGACTTCATGCTGTAGCCCTAGTCACTAGTGAGCATCAGGAGTGGGTACCGGTACCCGCCGATGACACTTATTGGTAGTCGTGCTAAAATCAAAACTCGTCGTAGAAGTTAGTACTCATGGGTCAATGAATCCGGGTCCCAGTCGGTGCCTGAATGGTCTTTCGTTTTTGTCTTTTCGGTACTATTGAAGTTTTTCTTAAGCATACTAAATTAGCATTTTAAATCAAGAGTAGACTATTTAGTTTTGTATAACGAATGACTGTCAATCAAGGGTAGTTCATATTTATGACTAAACTAAGTATTTGTACTATACAGATGTTGCACCGTAAAATACAGAAATCTGATTCAAGTGTTGGTGTGTAGGGATTTGATTGGTTACGGGATTTCATCATGAGTTGACATTGGTTAGAGAACCGTTGGAAAACCTAGGAGTACTGGACTGATAGCTGTTTCGTCCTAGTTTGGGTCTCTTCATCAGTACGCGACCACCGGGGTTCGAACCTAGAACCTTCTGGTTTTGAGGCGAGCCCATATACCATTAAGCCACTGGGACCCGATCCAATGGTCCACGAATTCTAACTTCTGCCAATTCACGACATAGCGCGATCCCTAGCCAATGTCTTTGGCGAGTATTTGTCCTCACACCCGACCTGCTGCACCCTACTGGTCACGACTTCTCACTAGAACCCCAGGTAACCACCTACCTGAATAGAGCAAGTCGCTAGTGAACATCTCATCGATATTCAAATGTTGGTTTGTAGAGATTTGATTGATTGGTTACAGGATTTCATCATGAGCTGAAGTGAAATGATAATCAGAATACTGACGAACAAAAAGAACTCTGAGTCTTCTTTTTTGTACTCACATTTTGAGTGATCACAATGTTCGCAGCAAAGCTATCAAAGTTGTGGTTTACACGTGGTTTCTTTTCGCAGTAGTTCATTTAACTTATTATTAATTTAAACACAAACTTGATGTAATAAATAATATGGCCATCAAAAGATGCGCTACACAATCATAAAACAACAATTTATAAAGAAAGTAGGAAGAGAGAATGAGTGTGATGGTGGACGTTATTCAGTAAACAAGCAAGCATACTTGTCAACAGCATTCATTATACTTTCAGAAAAGGAAGAAAAAAGAGGAAGTTCTTAACATGTTCGCCATTGTTTACGATTCCTGATCATCATATCTGATGGCGTTTCGAGTCGCCGTTTTGGCCTATCTCTTGAACTCTAACCGAGGAGTTGTCTCATGTACCAACATATGCTAAGCTAACAAAAATATCCTTCATCCTAAAATGCCAAGTCGTAGGCAGACCACATCTCCGGTTTTTCTATCCAGTTTCATAGGTAGCTGGTAGAGACGGGTACAGAAGCCTTTGGAATAACATCAGTAGTAGCACATGTCCAAGCCGCCGAGGCCGCTGTTTCCATATGATGACACTCATCGATTGGGGGAAGTGTAATGTGTCAAAATACACGCTGTTAGAACTCAGCATAAATTTTACTTATAAAATAAATGAAATTTTTTGTAATTCTAGAGACTGTGCTTCTTTCTCCTCCAGTAAGAGTTTTCAACAAATTTTTTTCTAAAAAACATACTTTTTTCACTTCTTTAAAGGCTATTGCTGAGGCTACAGATGAAGATTTGATTGAATTTGTTGCACCAAAATTGTGTAAACTGATTAGTCCATGGGATCATTTGCTTTTACGTTCTGAACACGGTAATCCACCTCTGCCTCAAGTTCCTCGTGTTGTTTTGGATTTTTTGAGTTTAGTGGAGCGTGCTCGATCATTTCTTGGTGATCAGTTAGAGGCACAACCAAAACGTCTTAAAAATGCGAAAAAGACATCTGAAGGGAATTCAGAAAATCAAAAAGGTAAAAAAGTTTAAATTCTTTGAATTCCGTTTTGTTCCTACCACTTTGGCTTAGTTTCTTTTGTGCTCATGTGACCTTTCGTTTTCACCAAATGCAGAAATGGGAAGGTTAATTGATTTAATTTATATACGATTTGAAAAAGTGAAACTCTTGCTTTTCAAAGGTCAGTTCGTCACTCACTCTAGTCGACAGATATCTGAGCTCATGCGAGAAATAGGCTAAATTCATTTATATTGTGTAACCCTCAGCGTTCTCGCTATTCACATCTCACCCCACCCCACCCCCAAATTGCATCTTATCAAGTAGGACTAGCAGTCATTATAAAAAAGATTATATGCTCACTCGCACAACTAGCCAGCCGGCCTTCTTTGTAACAGGGACAGTGTGAAGCGTATCATGAATACTGTCTTGGAATAAAGCACATCATTATGATTTGTTATTTTTAAAGTACCAAATTGTTTGTTAGTTTCTTTAGCGAATAATTTGTCTTATATATGTGCCACAGTAATACTAAAGCATCTATAATTTATCTTATTTTTTACATTGATTATGTTTTTTTAATCAGTCCATCTCGAAATTCCTTTAGTGTGTATGCCTGAGTAGTATTAGAGTCAGTCTTGTTTTAGACTCACTTTTAAAGTTAAGATTACTTGCATGAAATGTTAGTTACGGAAATCTTTATAAATACAAATGTGTGGCATATTTTCAGATGAAACTAGTAACAGCAGCATCCCGTCTTCTCTATGTGTTCACATGATTGTTCTTCTTAACTCGCAGTAATATATGGAGTTATTCAATATTTCATTCATTCATTCTAATTTTCGTATGTTGTATCGTTTGTTGGGATAGTATTGCTTTAAAATTTTATTGGGGTTAATAGTTGTGCTAACTGACTTCAGTGACTCAGGGATTGACTTGTTACCACTAGGGAGGGAATAATCTCGTTGACTTGGAATATGCAGATGATATAGTCCTTTGAGGTGAAGGCGGTGGTAAAATGCAAAGTCCTCTGAATACCTTCAGCTGTCATATGCGAATGTTTGGCATGCGATTCGCTCCCGCCAAATGTTAGATGATGAGACTACAGAACTGGCCTACATCGAATGCACTCCTAGCTTAAATATAGGGAGTGAAATGGTGGTTAGGCGTGTTGAACACTTTACTTTTTTGGAAAGACTGATCGCTGGTGAATTCACAGCACGAATCTAGAAGGCCCGTTTGGCATATTCCAAATTACGCAATCTCTGGCTTAGTAGACATGATATCCGATTGTCGACCAAAGGGCGTGTGTACTTCTCAGCAGTCCACTGCCGTCCTCCTTTTTGCCTGTTAGACATGGCCATTGAAAGTGGAGAACATGGAAAGGCCAAGTGTCTTTGATCGTAGGTGTCTGCATTTTATCTCCCGTGTGAATTGGTATAAAAAGGAGAGCAATATTGAGGTTAGGCCTCAGTCGAGTGGTAAGTAACGAGGAGAAATCAGTCGATGAGGTTGTGAAGTTCCATTGATTGAATGAGATGGTTAGGACATGTGTTACGCATATCTAGTCGTCTCCTGCTTCGATATTGGATCAGGTTGGAAAAGAGCTAGTGGATGGTCAGAGCAAAACTTGGCTTCATCAGTCAATGAAATCCACAACAGTTAGTTGAAATCAGTCACACAGGAAGATGTGTAGTCTTCCTGGTTGCTGCCTTTGAGATGCTAGAAACTAATTAAGGCTGGAGACGATCGGTGATACGGCTCAAAATCGTTGTCAGTAATAGCGCAGATGCATTCACTCACTGGGATTTTTTATATCGACTTGAACTCTATCGTTGTCGCATATTGCTATTCTTTTTCCCTGGCACTTGTGTTCATCATCTCCCTTTACTCTTTTCTCTTGTTTTGTGTGGTACACTGTATGAGGAAATAGCAAGCTGAATTCTTGAAACCAGTCAGTGATATATGTGCCTATTAAAATAAATAATCTGGTATACATAAAAACTAGACTTATGAAATTACTTTACAAATATTTTTTCTAATCTACGTGAAGGTGAAACAAATGAAGCGGGTGAATCCGATGCAGATGGTGGTGAGGAATCACAAAATAAGTCAAAATCTCAAGAAAATGGTGTTGGTGAGGAAGGAGGACAAGATGGCGAGGAGGAGGAGGAGGAGGAAGAGGACGAAGACGACGAAAATGATGATGCCATCATAGTTAAGGTTAGTTAGTGTGTTCCATTTTGTGCTGTTGTCATCATAACTTTTTTTTCATGGTATCCTCTTATTCTGTATTCGATGTTTGTTCTCTCAAATTCAATATGATCACCGTTGGGCGTTTTTTTCTCGATGGTTCAGTGACTTTCTGGATATGTGTCAGCAGTGTTTCCCCCCCCCCTTTGGTCCCTAACCTGCAAACCACTCATTTTCATTGATGCTTTATTTGTAGTCTTTTGATTTGTATCCGCTGTACACGATCTCCTCCATTTGATTCTCGGAAGACTGTGATGATTTACGCTATTTGTCTTTGATCATGGGTGCCTGCGCTCTATCTCCCGTGTGAAGTGATATAATAAGGTGAGCAATATTGAGGTTAGACGTCGATTGCTAAACTAGGTAAGGAGGAGAAATCAATTTTCATCGACTCAGATGGTGAGGACATGTGTTACATATGCCTGGTCATCGCCTTCCTCGACGAGCAATGTTAGCTGACATAGGGTCAGGCTAGAAAACAGCCAGCGGCGGTCAAACCAAAACCTGATACCAATCAATGAAATCCACAACAGTTAGTTTAAGCCAGCCAGTCACGTCTGTCTGTCTGTTTTCGACATAGAACTTTGCACAAATGTGCGGAAGTTCAAGTCGCCACATTCCGTGTAGCACGCGAAGCAAGAGAAGAAAGTACAAGAAAAGCATAAAAGAAACAGTGAGCAGAGGTGTGAGACAAAGGAGTAATAAAGAAATACAAAACAATTTCATTGAAGATCACGTAGGAAGGTATAGACTGGCTGACTGGTTGGGGTCCTCGGGATGGTTTAATCCAATGGTTGGAAACAGTTGGTGATATGGCTCAAAGTGATCATTCTCGGTTATGGGTGGCGCAGATGCATCCACTCTATGTGACTTATGATTTCCAATGAAACTGTTTTGTTCTTCGATATTACTATTCCTTTGTCTCACACCTCTGTTTACTGTCTGTATTATGGATTTCTTCTCTTGCTTTGTGTGCTATGAGGAGTGGAGTTTGGGGACTTGAACTGCTGCACATCGGTGCAAATTTCTATGTCGAAAACAGACAGACAGACAGACCTGTATTATCACCTTGCAAAGCAACGTGTATTGTTTAGTTGAAGTCGGAAGCATTTTGTGAAATGGTCAAGATGATATGCTTCGTGCATGTCAATAAATCCTGCAGTTGCTTCCTTATTGTTGGTCAGATCTTGTATTTTTGAATTTAAGCTTGTGAACTGAAATGTATTACATAAGTTGAATCAGTGGTTTTTGAGGCAAACGGTTATACAATTGGTTAGAAAGCAGTGGTGTATTTATCCTCACCTTCATTTTCTGTATTTCTATTATCGTCTCATTCACGTATTCTCTATCTTCAAGCTATCTAGTGTTTTATAAAGTGAAAACATATGTGTGGAATGTGGCTCATTGGCTTAAACACACGTTTTCCAGTCGATAGGTCACAGTTTCGAGTCCCACTCCACCCCTAGCTCAGCGTGAGTGACTTAGTGGTAGAATAAACGGTCCTCACACTCTTAGTGTGACTCTTAACCTCTCCATAACATAAGAAGAAAATCTGTTCCATGTAGTTGAGTTGAAATGTATGTGTAGTGTTATACCTTTCAAATTCTTTTGCAACTGCATTAATCGATTCGGGTTAGCTTCCATTGGTCTTACTTGCTGTGTGATGATGACCTACGATATTACTCAATTACCCAGCCGTCCCAAGGTGACATGGAAGAGGAGATGAGATAACTGTGGGTACTCGTGGGGCTAGCTAAAGAAAACCGCAGAGGATAGGACAAAGTGGAGATGTGTCGTTGAAACACTATGTTCCATTCGCAACCCAAAGGATTTGACTGGTTACAGGATTTCATCATGAGCTGGACACCGATTGGAGGACATTGGGGAATATGTTAGTGTTGGATAGGTGTTTCGTCCTAGTGATTGGAACTCCTCAGAAGTACGCGCCCACCGACCGGGGTTCGAACCCCAGGATCTTCCGTTTACAAGGCGAACTCGTAGACGATTAGGCCACTAGAACCCAACTCAATGGCCAACCCATGAATTTCAACTTTCGCTAATTCATGACATAGCGCTACCACTAGCCAGTGTCATCGCTGTTGGGTATTTGTCCTCACACTAATCATAATAGCCTAGGCTAAAGGATAACTGTGGTGTGAGCTATGAGCCTATTAGTTGGAAATCATCTAGTGTTTAGCCAATCCAATACAATTTCAGAAAGATAATCTGGCGTGGAACGTGATAAATATGATCACTAATCAGTTACGTCTAGTCTTATGCATATATTGCCTGTTTGTTACTTAACACCATCACACAACTCAGATTTTCCTATAGAATATTGATCTTGATTCGAGTAAATTTTTCCAAGTCTTGGTTTTGTAGGGATTTATTTTGAATTGAATGAGGAATTTCACCATGAGCTGACATCATTTAAAGAACCATTGCTGAACAGTCCCAAACTAGTGCAGAGCAGCTATCCAGTACTCCCAGGTTTTCCAGCGGTTTTCTAACTGATGTCAGCTCATAACTTTTTTCAGTTGACATCTGTAGCTACTCATTAGTAGTCTGTTTTGTTTTCATGCTGCAGTTTCATTGCAAGTAATACTCTGCTTACAATTTTTGTTTTTTGTGTTTTGTCATGATATTTAGGTAGATACAGATGAACAGTCAGCAGCTTTAGGTTTACCGCGTGGCAAATACATTGTTAAAGAACCTTTATGTGAAGAATACCTACCTAGACGTTTTCGATCAGTGTTGGCGGCACAACGAGCTAAAGCAGCTGCTGGAGATGCTTCCGACTCTGATAACGCGAGTGTAGGCCGTGCGAAACGTGCTGTGATCGCTGTAGAAACAGCTGAAGACGATGAAGTGGATGCGACGCTACGCAGTGAAATTGCTTCAACTGAAGGCTCAGGCCAACAACACTTTAGAGAGACTGGCGGCAATACAACAAATCAAGCTACAGATAATCAATCACAAAATATTATTTCATTGGGTGAAGAATTGGTGAGTAGTTGTAAGATTGTCATGATGTTAGGAATCTACGTGTTATAGAGAGTTACGTTGAATAATCCATACACACCAAAACATCAAATTTGTGTCATTTTTTTTAGTTGCCTCAAATTATTTACTAATTGTACAGTTCTTATTCGTAAAAAATTATATTTGTAAAATCTAAGCGATATTGAAATGAGTAATTCCAACGTTTCGTTCGGCAATCTGGTCCGAACTTCTTCAGAGAAATTAATCGAAATTAACACAACAGAGGTTTATATATAAAAGGAACATCTTTTATTTTTAAAAACTTTGTCCAATCATGAGTCATAAAACAAGTATAGTAAACAAAATTGTATGAGCTGTGATCAAAATTTGACCTCGGACTTACAAATATTGGTCTACCTTTGTTAAATACTTTAAACAGAGTGTGCATTCGTGTGTGGGTAAACAGTTGTAAAACATTTCTTAACGTCTCCATAAGGAGATATAGACAGTCGGGAACTTTGACCAAGTATTATTAATTAGTGATACATATCTATTCTTATTTATTAATCAGGATTTCCTATGCATCAGCTAAAATCACACCTTCATGTCTGTTCAAACTGTTAGTATATAGAATTTTATGATTAAGACGTTCTTTCAAAATTATGGTGTTTAGGATTAGAGTTTAGTTGAAGCACCCTGTCGAACTTATTGCTTTGTCTTCTTTTTGAAGATTGAGCTGCTGTATTCGACCTACTGGGGTTGTCAGTTGACCGGATAGCTACGGATTTAGGATACGCATTCTGTTGCTGAGATTTTACAAATATAATTGTGTTTTTACAAATGCCTACTTCTTACTCGGTGCCAAAATATTTTAGAACTATTCTGTCAAATTTTGACGACAGTTCATTTGAATGTACAGTTCTTAGTTTTAACAACCGTGGTGTTTATATTCCAAACAGAAACACTACTAATACTACTAGTAGCCATATGACTTCTTAGTATCCCACTGCTCTTCAGTCAATGTTTTTGCACATATCGTTATTGTCTTATTATTATTATTACTAATTATTAATAATTATGGCCATTAATAGCCATGCGGTATATTGCTTTCATAAGAGAGTGAGAGTTTTCGTGGAACTACTAGTAGAAGTGCAAATAAACCTGAAACACTTCAACACAATCTCTTCACGAATAATTTCAAAGTAAAACTCGTCAGGACCAATATCAGTTAATCAGTTCATTGAATGCCAGGAAGCACTGTGCAGCTGTTTCGTCGTAGTTAGGGACTCTTTACGGTGCACAACCACAAACTCCACCAAGGACATCTAGGTTAGTGAAGAGACCAAGCTCACTGACCATTCAGTCTCCTAGGCTGGAATTCAATGACGCGTGACTTCTAGGTGTGTCAGTCATCCCGGGTTCTATCGTGGCACGGTGGTGGGTGTGCACTGCTGAAGAGTTTCGAGCCAAGACAAAACAGTTGCTCAGTACTCCGTAGTTTTCAGTCGACTGTTACCAATGTTCGTTCGTGACAAAATATATACACATATATATATATATTATTTTTGGTAATTTAATTGCGAAGGTCTCATTATCTTACTTAGACAACAACCGCAGCGCATATCTCAATTTGAAAGAAACTTTTAGACTTCTGCACGAGTTTATTAGTCATCTCTCCGAGTAATCTTAAAAGTGATTGGTTCTTTATGCATATTTTCTCACTTTGTAGTCCACTTGTATTTATATTTTATTGTTTCTTTGACCTGGAAGTTGACCTTTTGTTCCTGTGATTTCTTTATCATGGATTAGTAAATCTTGTCTATGTCAGTGTTTCTGTTGATTGATGATTCAATTGAATACCATGCTTCTAGAAGTTCCCTGAAGTATTTAGTGTTTCCTCTGTCTAAGATTTAAGCATTATCCCAATTGAATTAATGTCCGTGCTTGTCTGTATACCGTGATATGAGGGGGAGTGTATGTCGTTTTTTTGGACAGCCACTTCTCTTTCATGGATACGAAGATGAAGAGTGTCCACTTTGACCAATGTAATGCTTTTCAAAGTCGTTCCAGTGTACCTTGTAGATGATGTTGGTTTTATTTCCTGTCTGTCTCGAGTTGTTCGGTTGTCATAGAGCCGAGTGTGAAGTGATTTTGTTGGTTTGTGGACGACATCAATTCCAAAAGGTGTTTGGATAGTCTTTCAGGAATTTTGACGGATGTTCTTTAGAAACTTTTCTTTTTGCTTTCATTGAGGGCCTTTGATCCCTCTTTTTTTACTTACTAAATGTCACACCTAATGATTTCAAATTGAATTGGTTATAATATGAAATGGTCATTTGATAGACCTTTTAAAAGCTTTTTCTATATGCTAAAGGTTTTCTAATGCGTTTACAACTATACACGTGCCTAATCCTATTCTAGCTCATTGATTCATCTCATCCATATGTTGATAAAATCGAAATTTTCAGCACTACATCATTTATACCGTGATGGTTAACCGAGTTAGTCATGATGGGCATATGTGAGTGGATCTCTCGTTTCTGGTGTGTTTACTTTACACTTACATAATTCATATTTTTTTACTATCCGTCATTCCAATGGATTACTGCTTACATTTTATTTCCAGCTTCTTCTTCCTGAAGGAGGTTTAGGCGGTCCTGTTCCAGATGAATGGCTTACCAGTGGTGCTTTTCTTACAGTATTAACTGAAAATGGTCAAACTAGTGATTTAGTTATGGAAGCTGCCACGGGTCGTCTATTCCACCGTCCAACTGGTCATCTAGTCAGTCTAGCTGATTCTCAGCAAACAAATCAATCCGGTGAAGTTGGTGAATTCCAAGATGAGAGTTATGCTGCATATTCACAAAATGGTGATGAACAAACAGTTTCAACATCGAAACAATCTATTCCTGAGAAACGTAAAGGTGCCGGTGGTGGTGGTGGTGCTAGCACATCGACAAAGTCGAAACCTACATCCAAGCCAAAAACTAAAGCAGAGCCTGATGCAGGCAATAATAATGATGTTTTATCACAACAAGAACAAATACTTGCACAACTTGCTGAGAATGGAGATGTTGTCGATTTGAATACACTTTTCCCTGGAGTATCTGTTACTGAAGTGTCACCTGGTGTTTGTCTGGTCACTAAACCAAATGGAGATCGTTTCAATGTAAGTCATTCAGATGACAAAAGTTTTTTTCGAGTTTTCTGATTACATGTTCAGTTTATCAGTTATTGTTACCGACATACTTTTATTGAACATGATTTTTTAGTTATGTTGGTGAAATGTTTAGGTGACAGAGCTCAAAAACTATGTAGCGCCCAGGGAAATCTACGACAGGAAGCAATACATATAAGAGAAGCTTTTAAACTTAATAATTACCCTGATAAATTAGTCAGAAATTATGTGAGAAAATGTAAAAATAAAATAAATAATGATAGTAGCGATATAGTAATAATAATAATATTAAGGACGACATGCATGTCAAACATGCGCAAGATAATGACAACACCAACAATAAGGTGGCACAGTGGTTAGGACTCTCACCGACCATGCACATGGTCCGGGGTTCGAGCCCACGCCGGCGCACAACTGATATCTATGATCGGCCTGCAAAATTTGGGCTACCGATATCCATGCTGAAAATTCCATACCTGTACCAAAAATACAGTGTGGAATCAAGCTGTAAATAAAAAATAAATAAAAAATAAAAATAAATCATCAGTAGTAATTCCATACAAGGAAGGAACCTCAGAAACCTTACGCAGAATTCTTAACAAGGCAGGAATAAAAGTGGCTGGCATTCAAACCAGCCACAAACTCAATTAGAAACAAGCTTTGTCGGTTTAAGGATCAGTGCTGTGGAGCCAATTAAACAAAACAATTTAGTTTATCTAATACCCTGTCTGCGATGATTGTCAGGTCAAATACGTAGGTCAAAGGGGCAGTCAGAATAGCCGAACATAAAAACCAAACAAAGTTTAGATTAGTTGACCCGAACAAGATACGAAATCTGGAGAATTATTATTAACCTTTATTGCTTGTTTTAAATTCGTATCGGGAAATAAATGTTTTCGAAAACATCCCCATTGGATGGTCATTCATATTTTTGTATATTTCTGTAGTATTCACCCCTATAGAGACCAACGGTCTTGCGCATTTCATACCTTATTCCAAGTCTAGTTCATTTTGATTGGAGACTAGTTAGTAACACCTAATGTTGTGAAGTGTCTAGTCCTTTGTTTGGTGCAGACTGATTCCTTATTGTCAGTCAAGTTTGCAATGTGTCCATCTCTCAAGATGGCTAGCCATCACAGTTCATTGTGAATTGTTGATATTAGGTGGTCGGAGGCAATCGGTTACAGGAAGCCTTGCTTGACCTAGGTTTTGTACTGGTTGACACTGGTTAACAAGGCGTGTCTACCTACAACCTCCTTGAAGAGGAACTCATGTTCCCTCTGAGGCTCGAGCCCGTGTTGCAGACTTTGCCACGGAGCACTCGCGCTTGTTCTTACGTAGAAGTAGCACGAAACTCAGGTCCTTGGCTTCCTGCCGAATTATCTCCAATCTGCTAATATCAACAAATCTAGTTCACACGAAAAACACCTCCACCTACTGGCTAGTCGGAGCCTGGTGGATGACTCGTTGGTTTGCAGTGGAATGCCTGAATAAATTATTGTACTACACCTCTTCCCTGTGCATTTTTATGTTTCTCTGGAAAGGGTACTTGTTTATTCAGCTAAACATACACAATGAACACTACACAAACTACTGACTGCGTTTTCTTTTAAAAATCGTGTATCACCTTTTTATAATTAATAAGTGTTACACTCCTGCTATATTAAAAAAATACAAAGACTCATCTTAATTTTTTATATTTTAGGTTGAACATGGTGGTGAAGGCATAACGTTGGAAACACTTCAAGCTATTCTACAGATGGATGCCTAGTTCAGATACTACTCCTGCTACAACTTAATCTCTTGTAAATATCAGTATACTAAACATATACGTATATATATATCAACAATCATTGTTTTCCTGTCATTAGAACAAAAGTTCAGTAATCCACATTTCATTCTCTCCTATATTGCCTAGCCCCCCTTAACCCCCTTCCCGCATCTCTCCGCGCCCCATGGTTACTTACTAATGTGTTTGTTACAAATGTATAACTTATACATACTCTCCAAAAATTACACAAATATTACATCTCCTCCCTTCAACTCAATCCCCTTCACCTCCTTAGGGGAGAAAGTATCCCCGCTCTCCTTCCCCCTCCCCACACGGTATTCCCATGTACAAAAGATTACCCAATGTTACCTGTTCTCTTTTTCATGCCTCATTCAATGTTTAATGACTAGTTTTTTTTCAATACAAAAAGTGGCAACACCACTAATCTAATATAATCTCACTTCATCTTTACACTATACTAGATAGAGGTATAATTTGCGGTTTATGATAATTTTTTTGTATTTTCTTTCTTTTGCTCGATTCATTTTTATCCATGTCCATATATAATATACACACATATTCGTACTTGTATTCTTTGTATTATTTATTCTTAATAAATTAATGGTAGTTTATATGAGAATATATCGATAACTTCAGGTTCGTGTATCTTAAACTATCTAAAACGTTGGTTAGAGAATGATTGGGAAACCAGCTGGTGGGATTAGTGGACAACAGCTGCTTCATCCGCCTAGGTTGGGGCTCTTCACAGTACACACCCACTGCCATGAGTTTGAACCCAGGACCTTCAGGTAGACTATTAAGCTACTGCGACGTGATCCTATACGCACACACACATACACATTGGTGAATGGTTCATCCAGTTCACATACACACTTCGACAACTACCAATGGACACGTCGAATATAATTACTATCGTAAAATTATTATTCCATTGGTTTCCGTGTGCAACATAGGGCTGGCTTCAACAACACATGTCCCTACAGTGTTCTATTTTCTGCTGTCTTCTTCAGCTGGGTCCACGGCTGACTATAATCTCTGATCTCCCTCTTCGCACGATCTCCATGCCATGCTGGGACGACTCGCTTGTCGCTTCCTGTTGAGACTCCACTGGAGTGATGACCTGCATTGCACACGATGTCATTCGATGGCCTTCTTATTGGCGTATGCCCGATCCATCTTCATTTTCCCCTACATAATTGTTGAGCGATCGGCTCTTGGTTGGTTTGTTCCCAGTTTTATATATTTGTCGCCAAATTTTTATTGTTATGTACTGGTCGAGAATTTAATAGTCCTGACGCAAGAAAAACGGAAATCAGAAGACCACTAGGTTTGCGAGGATACTTCTATTTTCCAAAACACAAGGAGAATCAATGTCACACAAGAGTGTGAGAGCAAAATATATGAATGTCCGAACAAGTGTGTGAGCGAATATTCAAAATGAACAAATCAATAGACAGTCTTAACATGATTGGCTAATTATAATGGAATATCGATCCATATATACATAGCAAATATACAGACTGTCAAATAAACACACATATTATGTGGATATATATCACCCAGCCAGAGTTTCTTGTTACTAATTCTTTATGGGCGGCATTTGATCTTCAGTATGGAGCCAGCGAAGGTGGTAGCTGTTGACAAAAGTCTGATTTAACCTGGTGGAAATCCTTTTCGTGATACACGCATCATGGAAGAGCTGACTGCTTACAAATTTTTGTTGAAAATCCGAATCTCGTTCTCTATGCTGGCTGGCTGAGCGAATGCAGTAGGTTTCCAAACTAATTTCAGGTTGATGAAAGCGTATTTTGCCTTTTCGATTTTGACTTTGACATCTTTATCCGTTCCAACTACCTGTAGTCGAAACACCGCTTCCTGGCCAAATATGTGAAAGAGATAACTTCATTAAAATCTCTCCCGTTGATTGTGATTGGTGGTGGTTTGTCAACTTCATCACCTCCTTCTTCTTCTAGAGTTTTCTTATCGGTTGCTGTCTTCTCAGTCCCACGTGCAATCTTAAGCATAAGTAATCCAGTCTACCACAATTAAGAATTTCATAAATGATAACAGGCGGGTAGCTTTGTCTTACTCCTTATTCTACTGCATTTTCTTTCCCTTCACGTTCCCCAGTGGAACATAGGGCTTCAAGCTAGTGACTTCAAGATTCTGTAGCAGTGCTGATTATTATTTTTTTTTACAGGATGGGGTTGCTAGCCTCATGCCCAACTTTTCCTGTTTACCAGCATTATTTCTGGCTTAACAAGGCAAAGGAGTGTGTCGTTGACCGGGGATCGAACCCTGGACCATGTGCATGGTCGGCGAGCGTCCTAACCACTGTACCACCGACGCACATTCGACTGCATTAGTTAGACATATTTGCGGAGTGGTAATAACGTATCATGCCCGAACAATAATTTTAATGATTTATTTGGGGATTTCTTTGGCAATCTTTAAGTGATTTTAGTTTAACTCAACAAAGACCTCTTCAGCCGACAATTTCTAACCTATAACTGTGACATTTTAGTCCTGTTAGGTTGTAATTTAATGTTTGCAAAAACTCTAAGCATTGTAAAATCAGTCAATCTATTTGATACCAGGGAATAATCGATATCGTATATCCAGCCACCTGTGTTCATACTTGTTGAATTCCATCAATCAAGTTTGCAGTAAATTATTGAATTGAATTTTTGATTTTCCCGTCGATTGATTGAACCGAAGTGCTCGGTCTCAGGTTGACATGTCGTGGCCCAAGTGGTCTAGTGGATAACGCTTTGGCGTTTGAAACTATGGGTACTGGGTTCGAGCCTCGGTGGGAACATCATCACTCACTGAGAAATGCAGGTACATCCAGCCGACGAGTCCCAAATAGGACGAAATGCGCATCCTGGATTCCACTGCTAGCCACCATCCACCAATTGTTTGCAGTAAATTCACTAAACTAAGCAACTTGTTGATTGAATTTAGTCAGGACTAATCCTAAAGACAAGAAACTGGATATTATTCACTATTTAAGCGTCTGTGATATCGTGTCACATGCTAAACCAAACGTCAATCCAAATAAAGAATATCCCCTACAATAAATTCTGTTCTCTGTTGTCATCGTAAGAACAGCTAGTTATGCGACGGATGCATATTTCTTTTTATTCAGAATAACTGACTAGTTATATGTTGAAAAATGTGACGAGTTGAATGCATATGAAAAAATAGTGTCAAGTCGGCGACCATTATTAATCATAATAGATTCATAAAATTTGCGTGGGCGGCGGTGGGAGGGAGTAATTGATAGGTTCGCTAAGGAATCTTTAAAATGTGATTGGTGGATGGCTAGTACAAAAGCAGGATAGTAACGAAAGGAAACAAGGGCCAGACAGATCGTTTATTCAGAAAATCAACAGAGATTTATTTTTTTTCATATGCACTATTTTCAACGGAGAATCAACGTCTTCTGATTGGTTGTTTTCTTGCTGATGGTTATTCTGTACTGCCTGTGACTGTTTCTCAGAAAGTTAAGTCATATCTCTGCGAATCGTATTTACACACACTAAGTCTGCTGTGATTAGTTGATGAGTTCCTCAAGGTTAAGCTTTGTCATTGTTTTTTCTCATGACCCCGATTCGGGACGTAAATAGTTGTCTACAATTTCAGCTTGCAGACGGCTCTCACCACATTAAGATTACGGTGACTACTTCGTTGTGAAATAATCAATATGTCGGTGGCATAGCGGTTAGGACGCTCGCCGACCATGCGCATGGTCCGGGGTTCGGTCCCCGGCCACCGACGCACTCTTATGCCTTGCTAAGCCAGAAATAATGCTGGTGAACAGGAAAGGTTGGGCATGAGGCTAGCAACCCCATCTTGTAAAAATAAGCACTGCTACAGAAACTTCAAGCCCTATGTTTCACTGGGGAAAGTGAAGGAAAAAATGAGAGAAGAGGTAGTAGTGGTGTGTCATGTGTTACTCGTAAAACTTTGTGAGTAGTATATTTTATGTGGGTTTTTTTCAGGATTCTTGAATAGCGAAGATGGGGAATGATGAAACATCCTTGTAAGACAGCATAGAAAATGTGAATAGAAGACAAAAGAAGCACAATAGATAGAACATGCGCAAATAGTGATTTTAATTAATTTAAGGCGAGTGTATTTCGCCATATCTCTACCTCTATTTGCAATTAGAGAATCCCGTTACCAAATGCTATTGCTATCACTAATAATAAATTAGAAAAGTTTACTAGTTTCTGTATGTATTGATATTGTTTGAAGAATGATAGAATAAAGTGTATACATAGTAAAAGATTGGTTACTCCTTAGTGTTCCAGTTAGTATACACCTTGTAGTTCTAAAGAAAATTGGTCGTCAGCCCGAATAACTGAATGGTTATCTTTCCGACTGCAATATTGTTCGAAACGACGTATCAATCCTCTCGAGGCTGTAGTAACGCAATCGTGACCAGTGCCACGCTACATATTAGAGAGTCTAGAAGCGAATTGAAGGCGACATTCGACTCCATCGACCAAGTGGTACTACGACATTGTTTCTCCGAGGACGTACATCGTACTAATCAAGACACTTTACTCGAACTCAAGTGGCTGTATAAGAGCCCACAGAGAGTTATCATCTGAAGAGAGACTCACTGATTGAAGAATCTTTTAAAGTTTTGATGATTCATCCACTTCAACTCTACCCCTGAAAAATCATGTATTAATTATCTTCATTCTCATCATAGGCATACTGATAAGGCAAATTTTAGAGTCACCTAGTGCTTTCTTACGAAGTACCACAGCACAGCTTGAAAATGAAGTCGCTGAAAAAGAAATATTTCTTCAATAAACGAAACCGAGTACTCTGGTATACTTCAGTTGGTTGACATAAGAAGCCTAATTAGATTGATTCTCCTATCCAACTAAATATATCACAGCTACAGAAAACAATAGACGCTCCCGCAGCACAGTTTGTCCAGGGGATAGTAGACACGCTGACAA